GCAGCCTCAAATTTCAGACACATATACAACATATCTCCAAGAAAATCTCTAAGACCGTAGGCATACTATCAAAGATATGGTACTATGTTCCACAACCAGCTTTCCTTGCCCTGTATCACTCGCTCATTTACCCCTATCTCACCTATGGAATTTGTACATGGGGTTCAACAACAATACATCATCTCAGACCACTAATAACACAGCAAAAGGCTGCAGTCAGAATAATAACAAATTCCCACTCCACACAGCATACTCCACCAATATTCAAAAGTCTAAACTTACTCATCATAGAGAACATCCATACCCATTATTGTGCCTACTACATACATAGAACACTACACTCCAATATAAACCCTCCACTCAGACTTCTCCTTACCAACTTTAACAGGACACACGACCATAACACAAAGCACAGATCACTCCTTGATGCTCCCAGTGTCCATCTCACACTATGTAAAAGCTCTATGCACATAAAGGGCCCAAAAATTTGGAATTCATTACCACAGAATACCAAAGGAACCTTGTCTGTACATCAATTCAAGACTCTTCTTAAAAACCACCTACTCACCCAAAACTAAATACTTAGTACTTAACCTTGCCAACAAAGCTACCAAATCACTCTCCAATGCCTCAAATTATAATTGCTGTGTTACTCCCCTAGCCTCAGAACCCCAAAAGTAAATGCTCAGAGTACAATAAATTCTCATGTTTTAACATAAATATTTTAATGCAAATGTTGAATAACATATTTGGCATAAGTGTAATCTATTGTATAATTAGTACAACCTGATCAAACTATGTTTTCAATGTCTAGAGTTAAGTAATCAGTAATCTGTTAAGTTTAGACTGCCTGTAATACCAAGGCATGATAGTGGCTCTCTTTGCACTACAAATCATTGTAAAACCTATGTATATAAACTTCCTACATTTGTCAAGTACATTGTAAACTTGCAAGGAAATAAAAAACCCTAATTCTAATACAGGAACTTTGAGGCTTTTTCTAAGATGGTTTTCATTGTTTTATTGGCTGTGTCTTGTTATCAACTGAAAGAATGGAGGACATTCTACTGAAAAAAGAGATGACTTTTGTTGATTTCAAGATTGGAAGTAGCTTGAAATTGGACTTAAAATAGCAGAAGTATATGATTTTTGATGATTTACCTGAGGACAGGTAAGTCTCCCCTACACCCCAGGTCTGTTTTATGAATTTTTACCAGGTTTGATTCAATTACTGGGATGCATTAAACCATTACCAATCATTCCTGGTTATACTTTATTATCTGAGAAACAGGGAACATCTTTGATTTTTTGTGTGTAATGAATTCTAAATGGAGGGCAAGTGTAATATAGGCGAGGCCCGAAAATGTGATTAATGAACAGACAAAAATGTTGCTAAATTTAGTGCTTGGAATATCTAGTGTTAATTTTGGACTCTTGCTTTTAATTTGGAATTACCAACTTCTGGTTCCAAAAGTTGAATGGGCGGTTCCTTATGTGCTAGCGAAACAGCTAAGAATCTGGTCAAACTAAGCAATGGAACTGGATTAAAATAGGACTCAAGAATGGGTGAAATTACTGATGCATTAAATGCACCATGACTGCTAACTTTGTGCCTGTGTAACTAAGCAAATTTTCTATCAAATTTAATATTTTTGGTGTCCTTACCTTCAGAAACATTCTCTACCATTTCAGGATACTTTTTTTAACTGCCAACATTATCAGCAGTCAATTGTTTATGGTTACCTGGTTCCTTATGTTTGTTTGGCAACTTATTACAAACATGTTTTGTCGAAAACAGCTTGTCAATGATTATATCTAAAAGAGGCCGACTACTGACTCAGACCACCAATAATGAGCTCTCCTTGCTGTTTCTTTTTCTTACTACAGCCTCTCCTCACGTAACGATGGAGTTCTGTTCCTAAGATCACATCGGTTAATGAATTCGTCACTAAGTGAGGAGCATACTACAATGGTAGTGGGTTTGTGTCAACCATCTTTGATATTGTTTTAATGTCATCTCTGCACCATTTATAACATTTCTGGTATATTTTTAAATGTTTATACAGTACTGTATATTGTTATAAACAAAATAGAGGAAATCAGCTCTAACATACATTATATAGGTATGCATACTGGTCAGAGAGCCCGTTGTAAGTCTGAGGCATTGGTAAACAAGTACGTCGCTAAGTGAGGAGAGGCTGAAATTTTCCAATTCTCTTTTTTTTTACCACCATTATCCTTTGTGCCTACATTTTACTCCATCGGTATCCTAACTGATCAGGCCAGCAACTAATTCCACTAGGTATATAACAAGAGATAATAAGGAAGCTTTCCTTTTTAGATGGATAGAGCTTTTAACTGGATAAATATCATCAAGATTTAAATAAAATCTTTAGAGTAACTCAGCATCAAACAAATAACATAATAAACAGTACAAACAATACTAAATATCTCAAAATGCAATGCTACCATAATTTTCACACTGAAATAAACAACCTAGATGATATAAGACAAAATGCAAGAGAAAAACCTGAAGTCGAGCTGATGTGGCAGGAATGATTACAATACACTTCCACATACACAGGAGCTACATCTTTACCTCACTACTTGTCATGCAAAGCACAGTAAATAATGTAAACTACATAAATGAAGTATCCTCCCATACTAAGGAGTTTGCATAGAAGGCATTGCATGTGTTCCTGGAGTATACATAAATATGTGCATATATTTATCTGTATATGTGTATACATTATATTTTTTTAATGAATAAATTACATGGATGTACATTTTATTTCTTAGTTTATATATAAGTATATATGTATATAAATATAAACACACTGACCATCTTCCACCGAGATGGGGGGTGGGGGGAACCCAAAATAGAAAAAAGCACCTTAACCATCATTCATTCTATCACTGTCTTGCAAGAGGCACAGATACCACAATTCAGATGACCATGTGAACTGCAAATATCCCCATTCCCTCTGCAAAATGCAGGAACTGTACTTCCCACCTCCAGGACTCGGGTCCAGCTAACCGGTGTGCCTGAATCCCTTCACAAATGTTGCCTTGTTCACACCCCAACAGTTCATTCCTACCTAACACGCTCAAACATGCCTCCTGGATGTCCAAGCCCCTCACACACAAAGCCTCCTTTAACCCACTCCCTCTAACTTTTCCTACTGCAGCCCCTACCCTGCCTTCCCTCCACTACAGATTTATACACCCTCTAAGTCATTCTATTTTTCTCCATCCTCTCTAAATGTCTAAACCACCTCAACAAGCCCACCTAAGCCTTCTAGATAATACTTTTAGTAACCCTGCACCTCCTCCTAATCTCCAAGCTATGAAATCTCTGAATAACACTTACACCACACAGTGCTCTCAAACACGACATCTCCACTACCTCCAGCCTTCCCGCTGCAGCAATCACAGCCTATACTTCGCACCTATGTAAGAGTGTTGGTACCACTATACTCCCAGTGTCTCCTGACTTGTGTGACACATCCCATCAGGGCTGATATTACCTTTTCTTCTCAGTATATTCCCAATTTCCTGAGCTCTTGAGAAGGAGCTAAATTAAGCATGAATAGACATTCAATTCCCCCATGTGGTGATTTGCATCTGTTGTTGCACGGTTGTGATTACTGCATATACATATATACATATACATGCATATACACATACATATACATGTGGGGTCACCAGTAAAGTTCTGTAGGTGGTACCTCCCTATAAAGAAAATGTGTATGCCTTGTATACATACACTTGTATGTGGGTTTGTGCATGTGTATAAAAAAATAATAAAGGTTATATATGCATACACATATACATGTGTGTATCTCATACACAATTATAAAAAGTATGGTAGTGATGTGACGATTAGATTGAAGTGTTACAGTAAGTGGTCAAATGAAAATCAGATTAGAGAGAGCTAGAAATATTTTTTAATACCCGATGAATTATTTCTATACGTTGGGGAGTGCAAAGGCAATAAGTTTGACAAAAATAAGACTATTATATAGAAAATATTATAATAAGCAGCCAAATAAAAGAATACATTTGCACACTTAAGAGCATGAGAAAAAAAAATGAAGAAAAAAACAACATAAATATGTAGAGGAAAATATTAAAAAAGGAAAAAAGAGTGAGCTTGTCAACATGAAAATTTGATGGAAAAATGTGAAATGTGATCAAGAAAGAATGGGATAAGACAAAAGCTGGTAAAAAAGGAAAACTAAAATTAAAAGTGAAAAACCTAGAACGAAGGATGTGAAAATATCGCCCATCCTCATGAACTACATCATAAAAACAATGAACAGTACTCTCTCAGAACTTAATAAAATAAACTCTTTACAACCTTAATATGCACAAATATGACTTGTGTCTCACCCTGCTTATAAACACAGGGCAGCTGAATAACAGCACACAGTATTTGAACATATTAGGACTTAATAGGTCTGGAAATACTAGGGAAATACATCACTATGTTATGTTCAAGATGAGAACAGGATGGAATATATGCAGAGAGAGAGAGTGAGAACTGATTGAAAAATATTATACGTAAAGAAAAAGGAAATGTGATACATATTAAATACAGATCTATGGAATAAAAAGCAAAGGGACACAGGGAAAGTAAATACCAGAAATAAACTAAAAATTACAAAAGTGAGGCTGACAATAAAGATAAATTTGAAAATAAAGAAAACAAGGAAAAAAAAAAAGGAAATGAAGAAAATTTAAATGCAATACTGGCAATTCTTCCAAAGGTGTTATCTAAAAAAGGGGATACAGAAGGCTTTATTAATATGGTGAAATAGTAGTGAACAGATATAGATGGAGAAAAGCTAATAAAATCAGAATATGAGGCCAAAATTAAATCCATGAGTACTGGTAAGATAAATAATTACAGAAAAAAAATACTGAGTGAAGGAAAGAAGTTGGCATAGAAAGAAGAAATGAAGATGAGATGGAGAAGTGTCAGTTGTGGGTCATCATACCTATGTAGCTGGAGACCAGATTTCGGAATTTGCGGTGGCCGCCTTTGATTTCTGGAAGGTCCACTAGTGGTAAGAGACCAACCACCCAACCAACCAATGAACGGGAGGGAGCACAACAGAGAGCAAGCAGAACAACAGTGTATGTTAGTTAGAGGACCCCTGCAGGCACTGGAACAACGGCTTGTAACTCATGTTGCTATTCTTGGGTTGTTGCCACTGACAGCAATAAGTCAAAGCCATTCTGAGCCCCAAGTCAAAGGTGAGAACAGGCTGTGTTTGTCCCAAAAGTTGGCACCACAAATACCAGAAGAGCAATGTAGATAGCTCCTACAATCTCTCAGCAGAAGCCCTTAAAATGGCAAGCTGTGTTCTACTTACTGTTTTACTCTGAATGCCTTGTAGTATAAACTATTATAAATATGTAGTAAAATCCACCTTGAAAATATATATGTGCAATATTTCCTCTAAGAAGCACAAAGACTTAGAGAATGTTCAGTTTAATATGAAGTGAACCTTTGCACTACCTATAAATTTTTCTAAGATAATTTGACTTAGGTGAGAAATCTCCATATTAGACATAGGAAGTCTATATATAAAAAATTCTGCAATGTCAACAAAAACTGAACACTATATTCTCTTCACAAATACCTCTATGTGCTAAATAACATAAGCTTTAAATGAATTTTGAAATGTTTACATACTTCAAAGTAAACACAGTTTCCCATGATGGCTTACTACACTAACATATCCTATTTACATATTGACATTCAAAATTGTAATAGTTATCCTCAGAGTTACATCAAGGTGAACTTCTATTATCTGACACACACATATATACATAAACAAAAGTATACTTTACTAGCACAGCCTATGGAAAGCACTGATAAAAGCCTTATCTTACTTTCACATAATTCAACATATTTGCATCTAATTCCCTTTCATCACTCACCTGTTATTGAAAAAATTATGACTGAAAACTTGCTGGAGTCTCTAACTGAATGGTTTGATTAAATTACGATATTAAATAAATACAATACTGTATGTTGAATATATTTTATGAAGTTAAGATATATGATACATACTTTTGTCTTAAACTGGGAAATTTCATGAATGGCATGAGCATCATGAGCAAACTGACTTCATAATATATCAGTCCAACACAACCATTTGCTGTCCATTTAGAAATATTATACAGCTTTAATAAGCCAGATAGATATCCTCACATCATAGGAGGAAACAACCAGATACTTCATTTTCCAAGGACAGTTAGGCCTGTTCTTACTCATGCTCTAACAACAAAGAATAAGAACAAAACCTGTGGGACAAAAACATAAAAAAAAGCAGTGCAAGAAATATACAAAGGCTAAACGTGAAACAGAGCATGGACGGTGAAAAACTTAGAAATCTACAAATACGTCCCGGGCAACATGAAAACATAATACACGCGTGACGTGATCAAGCAATCTCAGGCCTCGCCTAATGTTCTGAGCTCGGTACTTTCCTGGTGTAAACAATTTAAAAAGTAGGGAGAGCCTTGCCCATGAACTAGTCAATGCTTCAAATTGCCAGTCATATCACAGACACAAGCATGAGAAAGAAAAGGCCACAGTCAATCTATGATACAGCACTGCCAACAGGTCTCCAGTAAAACAACATCTATCCCAAGTGTGCAACACTGACCCCATCAGGATTTTTAGAAAAAAATTTAGGACTTCATAAAGGAGCTTCCTCACTCAAAATATGTAGTAAGTCATACTATATCAACAATTTTTATTTAGAGTAAATAAACTCTTGTACATGCTTTGAAATGATAAAATTGTGACTACTGTCTACAAAAAGTTTGTGAAAAACAATCTGATCAAATTAGTGATGAAATAAAGAATTTCTACATAGTGCAGCAAACTTGATAATTATCTCTCTAAGTTTTGAGGTAAGCCAATTGCTTAACTGAATAACAATTACCACAACATATTAAAATTAAAAGTAATATTCTAGCCAGTATGGAGGAATAAAATATGATTTAACTTCACTTAATCCAATACCTAACATTCTTTATAAATAATATGACTGGGACGACCTCTATCTTTATACTATATATTTTTTTAATTTATACCATTACAATGAATGCTCCAGTATAAAAGACAAGAGAAGTATGGTTTTAACAGTATGACCAGCGATTTATAAAATATTTTCCAAATATAAATTTAAACCTAAAATAAAAAAAACAATCCTAAGGTATATTATACAAGACCATTTTACTTCATTAAATATTTTCCATCATGAATTACAACTTATTATATCTCAAAGACCAAGTTTGTATTAGATATTCCAATGGAAACAAATAGTATATTAGATAAACAGTAATAGGAATTAGCTCAAGAAACATCACTTTAACCAGCCATGTGATGAAATATTTCATGTAAACAATTCATGATGATAAAATGAATGAATATACAACATCAACAGCCAAGGTACTGCACTTCATTCTTTGTGCAAAGGTGACCAGATCACAAGCTACAATGTCACCTTACATTTACATTATTTCTCCAAAATGTTCTCTGTTTCCTTCAAAAAAAAATTTTTTTTTTAACAATTCAGCTGTTTCCCACCAACGAAGGGTGACCCAAAAAGAAAGAAAAAAATAAAAAGAAAGAAAGCACTTTCATTGTTCAACACTTTCACCATCATTCACACAATCACTGTCTTTTCAGAGACGCTCAGATACAACAGTTTAGATGTCACTCCAAACAGCCAATCTCCCAAACCCCTCCTTTAAAGTGCAGGCTAACAAGTCAGGCTAACCAGTTTCCCCAAATCCCTCCACAAAATATTACCCTGCTCACATTCCAACAGCTCGTCAGGTCCCAAAAACCATTCATCTCATTCACTCCTATCTAACACATTCACAAACGCTTGCTTGAAGTCCAAGCCCCTCGCCCACAAAACCTCCTTTACCCCCTCCCTCTAGTCTTTCCTAGGACAACCCCGACCTCGCCTTCCTTCCACTACAGATTTATACACTCTTCAAGTCGTTCTACTTTGTTCCATCCTCTCTAAATGACCAAACTGCCTCAACAACCCCTCTTCAGCCCTCTAACTAATACTTTTTGTAACTCCACACTTTCTCCTAATTTCCACACTACGAATTCTCTGCATAATATTTAAACCACACACTGCCCTTAGATACTACATAAATACTGTGCAAATGTTAGTCTCAGAATCCTAAATTAAAGGTTGTTTTTATCCAATTAGTTCTTTAGTGCTTATGTACGATATCTGTTAAAACAACCAATGATGGACTGCTTGGTAGCTCCTTCAACATGTTACCAAACCCTAAGCAATTGTTATATATGTATACTTGCATTTTTTCCTTTTAACACACCAGCCATCTCCAACCAAAATAAGGTGATCCCAAAGAAAGAAGTAACACTTTCACCATCACTCGCTCCATCAAGTATGAAGTTAATATAACTCAAATGCCCCTCCAAACTGCAATATCCCCATCCCCTCCTTCAGAGTGCAGATATTGTACTACCTTTTCTTGATTTTTTTTTTTTTAACACACTGGCTGTGTCCCACTAAGGTAGGGTGACCAAAAAAACAACACTTCCACCATAATTTACACTATTATGCACTTTGAAGGAGAGGTGTTAATGTTGCAGTTTTATAACTGTAGTGTAAGCGCACCTCTGGCAAGACGATGATGGAGTGAATGATGAAAGTTTTTCTTTTCCGGGCCACCCTGCCTTGGTGGGAGATGGTCTGTGTTTATAATAATAAAATAATAATAATTTTTTTGGCTAAGTAAAGTGCTAGCCCACTTGGTTCATTCAGTATAATGAGTGGGAGAGACAATCCTCAATCCACAGCCATACATTCTATCAGTACCTGCCTAACATCAGTGGTGCAGTAATTTATGTATAGAATCACAAAAGAAAGAATGAAATCGTAACATGCATGTGTGATAATTCCTGTTCCCATTAGAAGTATTAATTTTATATTTATTTACATCGAGGACTCCAATTCAAACTAGGTCTTTGGGATAGTATACAGTACTAGTAAATAATTTTACATGTCAGTAGTAGTTAACTAAGCAAGTCAAAATGTCAAAGAAATAGGCAAATTTTCTAATTAGGATCACAGAAAATCAAGCATTTAAAACTTTTTATAGGTTAGTTTAACAAACTGTTAATGCATTAACACACCAGCAAAACTTCACTGATTGACATTACGAGGAAGATTTAAACACAGTAATCAGAGCTAATTACAGTACAACGCATAGCTGGAGTAGACTTACAGCTACCATTGTATTTATTTATGCACTTGATGAAGAGTAACTGCAGGTGTACATGTACAAACTTTCAACACAAATAACTCGCAAAGTTAAGATACACAAGATTCACTAATACATATACCAATACATTGTCACATATTGCAAAATATATGATGTGTTCATTTATTCATATTCTAGAAATTGTTATTTTGTGAAGGCACCTCTGGCTGTGGCAAAAATGGAGATTGCACTTCCTATACTCTTCAATAGGCTCTTCCATGAAGAACTTCATTTCTTCCAAGTTGCACAGTTCATGCTTGTGGACTGCTTTTTCCTCTTCATACCACATAAATAACAAAAAGGCACAATACCGTGACTGGAACGATACACAAATAACCCACACATAAAAGAGAGAAGCTTACGACGACGTTTCGGTCCAACTTGGACTATTGACAAAGTCACAGACTCTGTCAATGGTCCAAGTCGGACCGAAACGTCGTCGTAAGCTTCTCTCTTTTATGTGCGGGTTATTTGTGCTTCATACCACATATTTTCTATTACAGAGATGTCTCAAAACTGTGAGGTCCAAATAAAATGTTGATTTTATGCTGGATAAACCATTTGATAATGAACTTTCAACATATTTTATGTCATTATCATGCAGGAAGGAATCAAGCTTGACAAGAAGCATCACATTTTAGCCTATCACAGGATATTTGTCAACCCATACATACTTCAATTCTATAAAGAGCATCATGACCAAATCCAAACAGTAACTTCACAAGAGGCATGATGGTTATTTGGTTATTATTAATTACTCATGTTAGTTTTGCATCAACATACATTGGTCTGCATTCAAAAAAAATTTTTTTTTTTTCCTATCAAGTCTACTGTGTATTCTTTAGTGGATGGATGAAACAACAAAATTAACTTTTTGGACATGGCCCACCTGTATATTTGGTGCAAACTTGTATCCTTCAGCTCATGTACAAATGACAGAATTTAGATGGTTAAAAAATATCCAACAACATTTTAGCCAAAACCTTCAACCCTGTCAAGCTTCGTTGCAAGTGGATCCTGCATCTCAATAATGACCCAAAACAAACATGGTTCATAACCTAATCATTTCAGGAACACAAATAGTTTTGAAGTATGTAAAGCTAATTTCTCTGGTCAAAATCAATGAACCATCATAGGAATAATGGCTGTGTGCTGGCATACTATTACTCCCTATAATATCAACTACAGACACCACTAAGACCATTCAGTATTAGCTTGTCGAAGCATAGCCGGCGAGGGGATGTGGTAGACAGTAATTTAAGGAAGCTTTCAGAGTAAGCATTTTTCATCCTTAAAACTATGTAGGCTGTTGTCAAGTTTCCTGAGCTCCCACAGGAATCCTACCAACATAACCTGAAATCTTCATGGAGGCAAAGCACTGGGATAAAAAAAAAACTGTAATCTGTGAAGTGGATGATTGGTGACACCAAAATGCTAGATAGCTACATTGGTATCAGGGAAACTATACCTGCTATGCACTCTACAGGTGCTAAAAGTCCAAATGGATACCCGATTTCTCATAGGAGGAGGGTGAATGATCATCAGTGTCCTTTCATACATACATGATACAAAGTAACATGAGATGACTGCTCAATCTTTAATAATAGGCAATAAGTTACCAGAGATGGGTGTTGTACTAGAAATCTGTATGCTTGCTAATGATATGGTCCAGAGGATCATTAGCTGCCAAAGCCAATGACCTGACACTTCTTAGGTGGTGTGTGCCCTGACACTGTACTGAGGGAAGACTATCCTGTACATGGCAGATACAATTAATCATGCACCAGCTGGAAAAAATCCTATGGATGGCACTGATACCTGATGCTAGGGTGTAGACATTTGTCTGAAAGTGGTGTGTGGCCAATGTATGGCAAGGAAGAATCCAAGTCAGTGGCAATAGCAAATGATGGCAATACTGATAGCTTTCAATTCCTTCCAGGTTTGGGGCATGAAGCTCCCCAAACTCTGGTAGATGTAGAGGTGCTGTGTAAGCGTGTGAGGTGGAGGGGAAAAGTTCACGGAACTGACCAACATAGCATCCTTAACTGTAACCATCATTGTAGAGCCAAATGAAGACAGAAAATGAAGAATTCCCACTTCCCCATTAAAATGAGAGTAAAACAGCTTCATAGCTGTTACTACCAGAGAGAGAGAGAGAGGCATAGGGTCCCCAGTGAAAAAGTCAGAGCCTGTGTTAAAGGAAATATTTCCTTTTGCAATGTTTGTTTGGCCCCAGCTTTGGGCAAGGCCCTGGTTTTATGTGGGGTCTGTGTGATTACTAAGCGTACAGAAATAACTTTTTTTTTTTTTTGCCTGCAGGCTAAAGGCTGGCAGAAGGGTGGGGTCATGGAGACCCACCATTTTCATATTGCCTAACTTTAAATAACTAGTCGTAGTGTACTAGTGAGTTTTGGTAATATTTTGTAATAATAATGTGGCCTAACTTTAAGTACCTGGTAAAGGTATACTGGTGTATGCTTTTTTTTTTTTGTTTGTTTGTAAGGGTGTTGTGTGTATATAGCATTATATTTTTGTATATGTTAGTTTCCCTCTCCTTCCAGGTAATCAACCTAAGGTGTAATAAGTTAAGCATTTTCTGTGAAGTTACAAGTGTGGCCCTAAGCTGGTGTATTTTTAATATTTTTAACCCCTAGGCACCAGTATATTTGCATAACATTCACAGTGGAAATAAGACTCAGGGGTACAACTAAACAAGATATGATACTAGCCCTATAATTAATTTAATAATTAATTAACTCACAGAGGTTACATTAAAAGGTTGCTATTCTTATGGTGGTTCATGGAATCTGACTACAGAAATCAACAATACTGAGTGGCCATCATCTCCAAACCTCGGGCCATTAGAAAACTTGTGGTATGTGCTGATAAAGTAGTTGATAAATGCCAGCCACACAACCTGGATGAACTGCAAAGGTACCACTTGAGTAGCTGACTGTACTACTTAAGAAGTTCATGAACCCATTAAAAACCTACAGTAAGTAGCTTCTCCATGAAAAGAATTATTATTATTGTACAGGGTGTCCACAAAAACACTTCCTGAATTCAAACAGGTATAACATGTAACTTTATTGGAATAATCTTTCACAGTTAGTAGCTTCAGATTTCATTCAGTTTAATGTGGTATAGGGCAGCATTAAAGGCACTCAATGTGCGCCCCTCTGGTTGCTTGGCAAACACTGATGCGAAAGTCAAGTTCGGTCCAGATGCTCTGTAGTATATCTGAAGTTATCATGTAAACTGCTTCAGTGATTGAAATTTTCAGCTCCTCCAGGGTTGCAGGTAGTGATGGTACATACACTGTGCTCTTCACGTACTCCCAAAGAAAGAAGTCGCAAACAGTTAGATCCGGTGACCTCTGCAAGTGGCCTGCGAGGTCACCAAACTGGACTATCGCATTGATGCTTGCCAAGCAACCAGAGGGGCACATATTGAGTGCCTTTAATGCTACCCTATACTGAATGAAATCCTGCATCTGAAGCTACTGTGAAAGATTATTACAATAAAGTTACATGTTATACCTGTTTGAAATCAGAGTGTGTTTTTGTGGACACCCTGTATTTAGGAGGGGAGTACTAAACCCATAGGGGTCATATAACTCAAGAAATGGGAGACATTCAGGCTCTATCCAAGAAAGAGGAGAGCAGATGCAACTCCTTAGATCAAGAGCCCCTCACCAGCTTCAAGGAACCTCCATTGAGGGAAAGTCAAAAGAAACTTGACAAAATAATGACTGTCAAGGTATGAATAAATGTGAACATAATATGGTTGGCAATGTACCTTTTGTAACAGATACACTATCCATGCATACAATATTAAAAGCCATATGTATCTTAATATCATGATTTATTTACACTGAAAGTTACTACATGTACAGCTGAACTTTCTTAATAAGTAAACTTTTTGTAACAACTCATTATGTTCATAAGTATGAAAACTACCTAATTTAGTGTGGATATACACTAATAATTAAAAAGAATTATAAAAAAAACTTAACTTACTGCTCAAAGAAAAATGTAGTGATTATTATTCATCACAGAGATCTTCGGTAATCTAGGCAAAGACAGAATGAGATCAGATCTTTCCATAAACTTTCAAGACATGAATAGCTACAGCAGAATTGTTTACTGATCACTAGTTCAATCTTCCATGTAAAGTGATGGTATTTAACAACAATTAAGGCAATTTGCAAAATTATTTAGCTTTAAGTCCCAATAAGGAGTATTCGTTGAGCTCTAGGCAAATCCTCAAACTTAAGTAAATTACTTACTCAGGACTTGGATCCTGCTGCTGCACTAACTTGGAAATACTGAGATTATGTCTTTATATTCGGGGTTAATGCACACACTGTCCACAATATACTTTAAATGATGTGAAAAGGATATGAACATCATTGAACATCTCTAATGATACTTCCTTGAAAATGCATCAATAACAACTTACGTGATGGAATTCTCTTGAAGACTGTGTTTTCCATAAATTTTAGGAACCTCTGAGCATAGAAGGTAGGTCGATGAACTGATATAGTATCCTGTAATAAGGTGAATAATGTTAAGAAGGACACCTGATACTGTGCCTTAAACAAATAACTTTAATAAGATATGCCAAAATTCAAAGTAGGCTCTGAAACAACCTGAATAAGGGGATGGGGGTACCAAATGATTCAGATAAAGAAAAATTGGATATTACATTAGAGGGAGGAAGTATGAAGTAAATGTGTTCAGTTATTTGGGAGTTGACTTGTCAGCAGAGGGGTTTATGAAGGACGAGGTTAACAACATAACTGATGAAAGAAAAAAGGAGAGTGGTGCTTTGAGGTATCTGTGGAGACAAAAAAAACGTTATCTATGAAGGCAAAAAAGGAAATGTATGAGAGTATAGTAGTACCAACACTCTTACATGGGTGTGAAGCATGGGTTGTAAATGCTGCAGCAAGGACGAGACTGGAGGCAATGATGTTGTGTCTAAGGGCAATGCATGGTGTAAATATTATGCAGAGAATTCTTTCTTCTTTAAACAAACTGGCCGTATCCCACCAAGACAGGGTGGCCCAAAAGGAAAAACGAAAGTGTCTCCTTTTAAATTTAGTAATATGTACAGGAGAAGGAGTTCCTAGCTCCTTGCTCCCAGCATTTTAGTCGCCTCTTACGACGCACATGGCTTATGGAGAAAGAATTCTGTTCCACTTCCCTGTGGTGATAAGCAGAAATAAACAAGAACAACAACTCGTAAGAAAATAGAGGAAAACCCAGAGGGGTATGTATGTATGTATGTATGTATGTATGTGTATGTATGTATGTGTATGTATGTATGTATGTATGTATGTATGTATGTATGTATTTATATATATATATTTAATATATATATTATATATATATATATATATATATATATATATATATATATATATATATTATATTATTATATATATATTTTTTTTTATTTTTTTCAAAAAGTAGGCCGTTCCCATCGAGGCAAGTGGTGACCCAAAAAAAAAAAATCCAAAATTATAAATTTTTTTATATCATCGAACACTTTCCACCAGCACGCACATTACACTGTTTTTGCAGAGAAACTTTCCCATATCACAACATCTGAAGGTGCTACACAATTTAAATGCAACATTCAAACCTCATTCACACAGCCTCTTAAATGCAGGCATTGTACTCCATTTCCGCTCAAGTTCCCTGAATATTAAATAAACGTTATTTCTCCACTCCACACATCAAATATTAACCTGCTCCACTCCAAAGTGTCAGGTCCAAGTACATTCTACTCCATTCACTCCTGCATAACACGCTCCCATCGCATTGCTGGAAGTCTAACCTTACACAAAACCTCCTTTACCCCCTTCCCAACCCTTTCGAGGACAGAAACCTACCGCTTCTTCCCCAATGAATAAATCTAATGCTTTCCATGTCATTTACTTTGATCGCTCTCTCTAAATGACAAACCAACCTCAAACCCTCAATTCCCTTGACTATCTTTTATTAACCAAAAACTTACCAATTTCCACACATCAAAATTTTTGAAGTTTTTACACCACCATTGCCCTTAAACAGGACATCTCCACTGCCTCCACTCTCCAGCTCATTTACCACCCAATTCACACCCATTAAGATGTGTATGATACTATAATTTCATACATTCCCTTCTTTGCCTCCATAGATATAGTTTTTTGATATTTAATATACACACTATATTTATTCTCATCAATTCTATGATTAACCTCATCTTATTATATCCGCGACACGTCAACTCAATTTTGTTAAACAATTACTTTCTTCCATACATCCTCCTCCCCAATTTGATAGCAAGTTTTCTTTATCTAAAATAAAATTTAACCCTCAAAAACCTTACCTTTTCTTGTTCACTTTCAACTTTCTACCTTACACACATTCCCAAACTATCACTAACCTTTTGCAATTTTCTCTACATCCCATAAGCACACACATAAGATACAAACAATCTCCAAACTGGTCAATTCCCAACCCTTGAATTTGAATCCCCATATTTATCCCACCCTCTCCCAAACACCCTAGCATTTACTTCCTTACAACCCCATCTATAAATATATTAAACAACCATGGTGACATTACACATCCCTGTCTAAGACCTACTTTTACCGGGAAATAGTCTCCCTTTCGTCTTCTACACACCCTAACCTGAGCCTCACTATCTTCATAAAAACTCTTTACAGCTTTTAAATTTAACTTACCACCTATTCCATATACTTGCAACATCTGCCACATTGCTCCTCTATCCACTCTATCATATGCCTTTTCTAAATCCATAAATGCAATAAAAACTTCCCTTTCCTTTATCTAAATACTGTTCACATATATGCTTCAATGTAAACACTTGATCTACACATCCCCTACCCACTCTGAAACCTCCTTGCTCATCCGCAATCCTACATTCTGTCTTACCTCTAATTCTTTCAATTATAACCCTACCGTACACTTTTCCTGGTATACTCAGTAAGCTTATTCCTCTATAATTTTTACAGTCTCTTTTGTCCCCTTTCCCTTTATATAAAGGGACTATACATGCTCTCCGCCAATCCCTAGGTACCTTCCCCTCTTTCATACATCTATTGAACAAAAGTACCAACCACTCCAACACTATATCCCCCCCCTGCTTTTTAACATTTCTGTCAGATCCCATCAGTACCAGCTGCTTTACCCCTTTTATTTACGTAATGCCTCACGTACCTCCCCCACACTTACATTCTGCTCTTCTTCACTTTCCCAAAAGATGGTTTTTACCTCCCTGACCATGCATGAAATTACTGCCTCTGTTTCTTTTCCCTTTAACATTTAAAGTTCCTCAAAATATTCTCGCCATCTACCTAATACCTCCATCTCCCATCTACTAACTCCCCTACTCTGTTTTTAACTGACAATCCTTTTTTTCCCCTTGGCTTCTTAACTTGTTTAACTCACTTTCCCAAAAATTTTTTTTTATTTTCATTAAAATTTCTTGACAGTGCCTCTCCCACTCTATCATCTGCTCTCCTTTTGCACTCTCCACCACTCTCTTTAAACCTTTCTTTTACTCTCCATTTTTTGCTCTTTTTAAACACTTCGCTTTTTTAAAAAACCCCTTTATAAGCTACCTTTTTTCTTTTTTCACACCCTTTACTTCTTTCCCCTTTCCCCAACTCCCCTTTCCTCCCGCACCCCCCCTCCTATAACCACAAACTTTGCCCCCCTTTTTAAACTGATTTTTTAAAACTATTTCCAACCCCCTTTTAACCCCCCCATTACTCATCTTTGCACTTTCCCCCCTTTCGCCAATAGTCCTTATATCTCCCCAATTTCCCTCCTCCCTTTTTTTATACACTTCACCTCCTCTTATTGTTGTTGCCCCTTCCTCTTTCCCTTACCTCTCCCTTAACTGTACTACAAAAAATAATGACCCGAATATCGTTCCCCCAAAACATGACATCCTGGGCCCCCATCAACCTTTTTTTCCACCAATACATAATCAATAAACTACTTTCATACGTGTACTCAACTTGTTTATTATTTACCCTCTTTTTCATAAATATGTTTACTTATTCCCAAAATTTCTTTTAAAAAAGCCAATTAAAGGCTCCCCTTTTACTTTTTCCCCTGGCACCCCAAAATTTACCTCACTCCTCCAA